GACCTTTGGCCTTTCACACCAGTCCCGCCTTTCTCGGGAAAAGCAGCTTTCAGTTCCTCCTGACCCTTGGCCTGCCCTGGGTACACTTGGGTGGGTTGAACACTCCTCACTGGGGAATGGGAAGGCCCAGGAAGATGGCTGGAAGAGCGGCCATGCTTTCTCCTCACACCACCCCATCCCACCCTACCCTGCCCCACTCCACCCCAGGCTGACCACTCTGGCCTCTGGGTCCCCTCACACACGGGGGAGGTGAGGCAGATGGTGTGCTAGGGACACTGGCTACTGGGTGGGGACTAAGCTAGCTCACTCACAAAGCACAGGACAGCAGACGACAGGACCCGTGACAGGAGGAGGCGTGCCCTTCTTGCTCACCAGCCGTGGAAGGGACCCCAAAGTGGGTGGCCTGATTCACTGGCGGGGGCGACAGGGGCAGGCCCTGCCAGAATGGGATAAACCCGGGCTGGGGTCTTAGTGCCACTGGTCCTCCCAGGAAGGGCCCGCTTCTTCCTCCTTCAGCCAGCAAATCTTTGACGCCTACTGGCTGCCAGGCCCTGTGCTGGGCACCGGCAGCGACAAGACTCAGCCAGTCTCTCAGGGAGCCACAGTGACTAGGGAGAGCAGGGCTCATGCTGGCAGCTGCTTAACTAAACTGAACCCTGTGCCGGGGGGGGGAGTGGGAGATGGGGGGGCGGGTCTCACCACCGTTCTCATTTCGGCACCATGCTCATCTGCGTGAACAGGTGGGCTGCGCTACTGGGGGAAGGGACTGGGGATGCTGGCCAGGGGAAAGGAGGGAGGCAGGGGTCTGGGCAGAGCAAGGCCTGGTGCGGCGGCACAGAGGGGAAGAGGAAGGAGAGCATGTGTCCAGTGGGGCCTCCCCTCGGTGTTAGCCCAGCAAAACCCTTGCTCCCGGGGGTAGGAAAGATGCTCTGAGAAGATGGCCAGTCCCCCCAGCTGCTCCTGGATCCCCTCTCCTGCTCCTATGCTGGCTGTAGCTCATCTGGCCAGCCTCTGTGGACATCCATGGGGCCCCTCGGCGGGCCTGAGCCCCTGATGTACGGCTCCCCATCCTCCCACTGGGGCTCCAGGCCAGCCCCACCCCCCAGAGAATCCTGTCTCCTTAACTGCGGAAGGCTGGGCCGTGCCCATGGGTGACGAGGGCCTCCTGGGCTCCTCTGCCCACCCTTGCTGAGACCCAGCAAGGGTCTTACCTGGGGGGGGGGGGGAAGGGTCTTACCTAGGGGGACAGGCCGAACTGTGTGCCCCCTCCAAAATTCATGTGTTGCAGCCCTAACCTGCAGGGCCTCGGGATGTGACTGTATTTGGAGGGAGGGCCTCTGAAGAGTGATTGAGTTAAAATGAGGCCATTAGGGTGGGCCCTAATCCAATGACTGGTGTCCTTATAAAAAGGAGAAAACAGGACACAGATGCGCACAGAAGGAAGACGTGTGAGGACACAGGGAGAAGGTGGCCATCTGCAAGTCAACGAGGGACGCCTCGGAAAGAACCAGCCCTGCCAACACCTTGATCTTGGGCTCCTTGCCTTCGGAACGAACCCGGAAGAAATAGTTTTTTTTAATAATAAAACGATTTTACTTAAAATGTACCTTCATACACATACAACAACATCAAACATGTATTTAGGGGCGCCTGGCTGGCTCAGTCAGTGGAATGTGCCACTCTTGAGGAGATCTCGGGGTTGTGGGTTCAAGCCCCACGCTGGGTGGAGAGATTACTTAAAAACAAACAAAGAACATTTATCTGATGCTCTCAATGTGAGGAAATAGATTTCGGCTGTCCCTGACCCACCCAGACTGGGCTGCTCTGTTACGGCTCTGCAGCCGGGGCACACCAATCTGCCCAGGATGGACCTGAGTAAGACAGCAGCATATTGGGTACGAGGGATGCGGGGAGGGAACGAAGAGCAAGACAGACCCTTTCTCCGTGGTCTTGGGTTCTCCTCTCTCCCACGCAGACCTAGTGCTTTAACTGCATCCTGGGAATGTCCCCTTCCCTCCAAACTCAACCATCTCAGGCTACTGGGCCCTGGCTGAATGGCGGAGTGTAACAGCACCCCAGAGATGCCACTGTGAACCCATGACCTCACCCCGCTGTGCTCTCCTTTCCCAGAGTGGTCTATGCAAACCTTGTCCTCGGGACCCTCCTCTCTCCTAGACCCCCACCCCCACCCCACTGCTTATCTGCATTCTACTCAGTCTCTCCTCCTGTCCATGCCCTGGGGGTTGAGGCTAGGGCCTCTCTTGGTACTGGCCTGCTCCTTCCCCTTTCTCCGCTCTCCCCTGAACTCTTCCAGCCTCGGGGGGAGGGCTGTGTGTCCTGTCCTCTCGTCACATCATGGGCTGTTTGGCCCTGTGGTCCCAACCCCTGACCCCTCTCTGCCATCCTCTGGGAGCGTGTGACCTTGGGCTCACTTGATCCTTCTGTAAAACGGGGCCAACAGGCCCCAGCTGAGGCTTACCGTGAGGACTGAGCTGCATCCTGGGCGGCTCCGTCGGTTGTGCGTCCAACTCTTGATCTCAGCTCAGGTCGTGATCTCAGGGTCGCAAGTTTGAGCCCCACATTGGGCTCCATGCTGGGAGGGGAGCCGACTTAAAAAAATAATAAAAATTAAAAATTTTTATTTTATTATTTTTTTTAAAGATTTTGTTTATTTATTTGACAGAGAGATAGAGAGCACAAGTAGGCAGAGAGGCAGGCAGAGGAAGAGGGAGAAGCAGACTCTCCACTGAGCAGGGAGCCCGACGTGGGGCTCGATCCCAGGACCCTGGGATCATGACCTGGGCCAAAGGCAGCCGCTTAACCAACTGAGCCACCCAGGTGCCCAAAAATTAAAAATTTTTAAAAAAGGAACTGCATCCACACAGTGGTCAGCCTGGAGGCCGGGAGCCACTCTTATTCCACATGGTTGCGGGCCTCTACTTGTCTTTTCTAGCAGGTGTGCAATTCATTAAGCCAGCGTTATCTCTGGGCATTTGGATCGGTGCCAAGCTGAAGGTAACCCACTGGAGACCAGAAGAAACGTCCTCTGGCCCACAGCCCTTCCTTGGCGGCTCTGGATGACTGTCAGTGCTACAACCACAGGAGCACAACGTGAACCTTTTCCTATGCTGGTCAGGTAGCTTCCAATGGGTGTCAGCTTCACTTGGCTGCTGCCCCCGGGAAAGCCGGTGCTGGGGTTCCTGGCAGGGCCAGAATGATCGACACCTTGGGTCCTTACCCTTGGGCCCCTTGGTAGACCTGCTCTGGGGTTTGCTGACCCCCCCCCCAGCCCCGAACTGTTTATCTTTGCTCCTTTGGTTCTTACCAATTTGCATGAGCTCTTAACAGACTGATAACACCTGGCTTGTTCCTATCATACAACCTGCTCTCGACTGCACACAGGCGTGCAGCACCATGAGAAATATGTGCTTTTGGATATGCTGTCTGGGGGTCTGGGAGGTTTGAAGATTTTGTGATATGGGGAGTGTGGGTGTTGCCAGGGGCGGGGGGCAGGACCCGGTAACGGAAACACCCGTCCTCGGTGCTCCTGCCCCAGCACATCAGGGGCCGGTGGGAGGCACTTTGCATGCAGGCGACAGCATACGTGTGAGTCCCGGGCCTGCTTCCTGCGAGTCGCCAGATGAAGAACCGGGCTAGACACGTGTTGCCACAAGTTGACTGCCTGCTAATGACCGACAAGCATGAAGCCTCCACCTCATTTATAAAGAAAAGATTGGGGAAAACAGTTCGGCGGTTCCTCAAAATATTAAACGTAGTTACCAAAGGACCCAGCCATCCCACTCCTAGGTACTGACCCAAGAGAAAGGAAAACATATGTTCATATAAAAACTTGTCCGTGAATGTTCACAGCAGCCTTATTCACAATAGCCAAGAAGTGGGAAAAGCCCCCATGTCCATCACGTGATGAATGGATAGAGAAAATGTGGTGTTGCCACACGGTGGAATATTACTCAGGCATAAAGTCCCAATTCATACTCCAGTGTGGATGGACCTTGACGACAGGATGCTCAAACACAAAAGGCCATATGTGACATGATTCCATTTACATGAAGTGACCAGAATAGGCAAATCCATGGGGTCAGGAAATCGGTTCGTGGTCACCAGAGGCTGGGGAGTGACTGCTAATGGGCATGGGTTTCTTTCGTTTTGGGGTAAAGAAATGTTCTGGAATGAGACAGTGGTGATGTCTGCACAACTTTGTGAATATATTAGAAACCCCTGACATTTCACTTAAAAAAAAAAAAAAAAACTTTTAAAAAGCAGCAGTGCAGAAAGTCCCGCAAATACATGGGAAATATATGAGCCAAGCAAGAAAGAGAACTTGTATGCCATGAAAAGGAAACATCAGAAATCTTAAAAACGAAAACTAAAAGTGATAGAGGCTACTACAGTCAGCACTGGACTGACGGTGACTGAGTTAAGAACACCTGGAAGTGAAAGCGATTGCTATCAGGGCGCCTGGGTGACTCCGTTGTTAAGCGTCTGCCTTTGGCTCAGGTCATGATCCCGGGGTCCTGGGACTGAGCCCTGCATCGGGCTCTCTGCTTGGCGGGAAGCCTGCTTCTCCCTCTCCCACTCCCCCTGCTTGTGTTCCCTCTCTCGCTGTGTCTCTGTCAAATAAATAAATAAAATCCTAAAAAAAAAAAAAAAGTGATTGCTATCGATAACCCTCCAGGACAGCAGGGAAAGCCAAGCCACACCATGACCCCAGAAACCAGAGCTGCAGGGCCTTTCCTAACCTTCGACCTCAGGAGAGATAAAACACCCAATGTTGTTCTTGCCAGGAAGATACTGCAGTGGAATGGTTATGGGTCAGTTGCAGAAAGATCATTCTGGAAAGCAAAATTTGCCACACTTGTCCAGGTCAGTGACCCACGTTATCTCAGGTGGTGGTGTTCCAGGAGCCGAGGTTTTAAGACAAGAAGCGGATCAGGGAGCAAGCGGGGCTTCTCCAGACATGACTCTCTCCTGGTTTCGTGGAGTTTCCTCACAGCATGGCCCCCAAACGCCAGTCTTCACTCCTGCCTCAAACGAAGAAACCGAGACTACCTCCTGCCCCCAAGCTGCAGGAGACGTCGACATCTCAGCACTTGCCTAAGGGAGAAAAAGAACAGCAAGAAGCAATTGAACATACTGATGAAGTACAAAATGAAATAGACAGACTTAATGAACAAGCCAGTGAGGAGATTTTGAAAGGAGAACAGAAATATAACAAACTCCGCCAACCATTTTTTCAGAAGAGGTCGGAATTGATCGCCAAAATCCCCAATTTTTGGGTAACAACATTTGTCAACCATCCACAAGCGTCTGCACCGCTTGGGGAGGAGGATGAAGAGGCGCTGCATTATTTGACAAGAGTTGAAGTGACAGAATTTGAAGATATTAAATCAGGTTACAGAATAGATTTTTATTTTGATGAAAACCCTTACTTCAAAAATAAAGTTCTCTCCAAAGAATTTCATCTGAATGAGAGTGGTGATCCATCTTCAAAGTCCACTGAAATCAAATGGAAATCTGGAAAGGATTTGACGAAACGTTCAAGTCAAACACAGAATAAAGCCAGCAGGAAGAGACAGCATGAGGAACCAGAGAGCTTCTTCACCTGGTTTACTGACCATTCTGATGCAGGTGCAGATGAGTTAGGAGAGGTCATCAAAGATGATATTTGGCCAAATCCGTTACAGTACTACTTGGTTCCCGATATGGATGATGAAGAAGGGGAAGGAGAAGAAGAAGATGATGATGATGAAGAAGAAGAAGAAGGATTGGAAGACATCGATGAAGAAGGAGATGAGGATGAAGGTGAAGAAGATGAAGATGATGATGAGGGGGAGGAAGGAGAGGAGGATGAAGGAGAAGATGACTAATGGAACACTGATGGATTCCAACCTTCCTTTTTTAATTTTCTTCAGTCCCTGGGAGCAAGTTGCTGTCTTTTTTTTTTTTTTTTTTCCTCCTCTTGTGCTCATTTGCCCTGTTTTTTGAAGTCTCTTTTCTCTCCCTTTATACCATGGTTCTCAACTTATTTTGGGGGGAAACACCTTGAGCAGAATACAGTGGGAAAAGAATCTCTACCCCTTTCTGTTCCAAATTCATTTTTATCCCTTCCTGTCTCAACAAAAACTTTATGGAATCAACACCACCGTGCTCTGTGGGAAAAAAGAAAAACCTTCTGCTCCCTTAGCTCTGCTGGAAGCTGGAGGGTGCTAGGCCCCTGTGTAGTAGTGCATAGAATTCTAGCTTTTTTCCTCCTTTCTCTGTATATTGGGCTCAGAGATTACACTGTGTCTCTATGTGAATATGGACAGTAAGCATTTACCAACATGTACCTGTCTACTTTCTCTTGTTTAAAAAAAAGAAAAAAAACTTAAAAAAATGGGGTTATAGAAGGACAGCAAAGGGTGGGTTTGAGATGTTTGGGTGGGTTAAGTGGGCATTTTGACAACATGGCTTCTCCTTTGGCATGTTTAATTGTGATGTTTAACGGACATCCTTGCAGTTTAAGATGACACTTTTAAAATAAAACTCTCTCCTAATGATGACTTGAGCCCTGCCACTCGATGGGAGAATCAGCAGAACCTGTAGGATCTTATTTGGAATTGACATTCTCTATTGTAATTTTGTTCCTGTTTATTTTTAAATTTTCTTTTTGTTTCACTGGAAAGGAAAGATGATGCTCAGTTTTAAACGTTAAAAGTGTACAAGTTGCTTTGTTACAATAAAACTAAATGTGTACACACACACACACACACAAAAAGAAGCGGATCAGGTGCCTGGGTGGCTCAGCAGGTGAAGCGACCGACTCTTGATCTCAGCTCAGGTCTCGATCTCAGGGTTGTGATTAGAGCCCTGCACTGGGCTCCATGCTGGGCATGGAGACGACTTAAAAAAAAAAAAAAAGTGGAGCCCTTCCTTCTCTCTGGGGTGTTAACCACATTAGACGCTCTGCTCGGTGCCTGCTTTCTGTGTCCCTGAGGTGGTGGTGCCACCTGCTTTCACAAATAAGCAAACGGAGGCACAGGGACGTTATGAGCACAGTGGTGCCTAAAAGAAAGCCCTGCATTTCTGTGCCTCCTCCGGGGCCGGGTTCTTCAGGGCAGAAATGTGTATACATAGGAACCAAGGTGACCCACACCTGGAAGGGGCCAGTCCCCTTGGCACAAAGACATGACCTCCAAACTGTGGCTAACCTGAAAATACATGCTGCTGCCTAAGGAAAAATAAATAAAGCTTCCTGTTCTTGACACAACTGACCTATTGGGCACTTGAGATGGAATCAGATTGCAGCTGTACAGCGTGTTGAGTGCCAGAACGCTCTTTGGGCTTGTCCAGGCTAGCCCAGCTTCCATCCTCCCAACGAGCATCTGCTTTGATGCCTCAGCTCTGTTTGGGAGGCCAGTGAACACCTGACAGTGAAACCCATTTCTTGTGAACCCAAAATAGCCCCCACCTATATTCGGAGCCCTGGAAATGGTTCAGACGTCACAGCTTCCCCCCCATGTCACTGGGTCTAATGAATCAGGGCACCTCCTTTTCCACATCTGACCGGTCACCGACTAGTTTACTGATCCTTCCTCATCAATTTCTGGAATCCTCCACAAATTCTTTTACATGCTCGTTGCCTAGGACAGGTGCATCAATTCCCTGCGGCCATTGTGACAAGTGACTGCCCCCTCGGTGGCCTAAAACAACACATATTTATTCTAAAACAACACACATTTATTCTCACAAATCCATGCCCCGGAGGTCAGAAGTATGAAAGCAGTCTTACAAGGCTAAAATTAAGGTGTCAGCTGGGCTGCAGCCCTTCTGGGAGTGCTAGGAGGAAATCTGTTTCCGGGCCTTTTCCAGCTTGTAGAAGCTGCCTGCATCCTGTGGCTCATGGCCCCTTCTCCACCTGCACAGCCAGCAATGGGATCACCGGCCTCTGCTCCGTCATCACATCTCCTCTGCCTCTGATCCTCCTGCCCTCCTTCTATAAGAACCTTGTGATTACGCGTCCCATGCGGATCATCCACGATAATCTCCCCCTCTCCGGATCCTTAACTTAACTTAATACCATCTGCAGAATCCCCCTCTGCCAGGTAAGGTCACGCAACTGGAGGTACCAGGAGACAAGGTCATAGACATCTTGGAGGGACTGCTGTTCGGTCCACCGTAACAGAATTCACTTACTTTCTCTGAAAAGGGCCCAATGGTAAATACCATAGGCTTTGTGGGCCATATGGTCTCTGTCACCAGGCCTGGCTACGTAATTTTCAGGACCCTGATGCAAGATAAAAATGAGGGGCCCCTCATTCACAGATTTTTAAGAATTTCAAAATGGTGACAGAAGAGCAGGGCCCGGTGAGACCACAGTATGCACGGCCAGGAAGCAGGCCCTGCCTGGGAGCGGTCTGCCGCTGCCGCCGTGGCTAGAAAGCCGCCAATGGGCCATTTGCAGATGACAGGTGACGCTGTGTCACTAGCAACCTTACGGGACACCTAAACTATAACTTTCTCAGGTCACAAGACATTATTCTGCTTTTGCTTTTATTTTTGTTTTAAGGAGGCTCCACGCCCAATATGGGGTTTGAACTCAGGACCCTGAGATCAAGAGTCAAGTGCTCCACCTACTGAGCCAGGCAGGCGCTACTCTTTTGTTATTTTTTTCAACTACTTAAAAATGTAAACATCAAGGGTGCCCGGATGGCTCAGTCAGTTAAGCTTCTGACTCTTGATTTCGGCTCAGGTCATGATCTCAGGGTCGGGAGATCGAGCCCCGCAACAGGCATTGCACTGGACATGGAGCCTGTTTGGGACTCTCTCTCCCTCTACCCCTCCCCACCCCCTTGTGCACTCGTGCTCTCTTTAGCTTCAAGAAAAAAAAAAAAAGAGTAAACCTCACCCTTACTCACAGGCTGTACAAACACAAGTGTGGGCTGAATCGAGCTGGAATTTGCTGGCTCCTGGTCAACGGGGTAAAATCCCAACTTCACTGCCTGACTTTCCAGGGCCCTTTGAGGCTGGAAACAGACTCCCCAGTCCCACTTCACAATCTGCATCCAGTGCTCCTGATAGCTCCCGTTTCCTACCAGATCCCCTGGGACAAATCCGTGCCTGCGCTCCTCCGGGCTCCTCCATTCAGAAGCCCCACCTTGCACCTGCTCCCACTATATTTCGGCTTAGACACCGTGCTCCATGAGAAGCGGTGCTCTGTGCCTATCCCTTGTCACCCCCGTTGGACTTATGTGTCTGTGCATCCTCCTCTCCCTCGGGCAGTGATGTGCTCAAGGGCGGGAATGCAGGCTAAGCCATCTTTGTGTCTCCTGACCTCACAGGCCCTCAGAGCTGGTACTTAGAGGGACGGCAAGAACAACCTAGAATTTCGGTGGCTGGAGTGTACTCAGATTCTGACCCCTAAGAACTAAAACTATGCTTCTTACCAAAAACAAAAACAAAACAATCCCCCACCCACAACCAAGAACTCCCTCTCTCAAATTCAGACCAAAAAAATAAAGATCTCTGAGACTAAACAGACCTGGATTCCAATCCTGACTGTCCTTACTAGACCTGTGCCCTTGGACAAGTCACCTCCCTTGCTCTTTTTTTTTTTTTTTTTTTTTAAATATGGAACACTTCACGAATTTGCAGGTCATCCTTGCGCAGGGGCCATGCTAATCTTCTCTGTATCATTCCAATTTTCGTATGTGTTCTGCTGAAGCGAGCACACCTCCCTTGTTCTTAAGACTGAGTCTCAATTCGCCATGGCCCACCAGCCCCTGTGTGATTTGCCCCTTCCAATCCCATGAGTCTTCTCTCCTCCTCGTCTCCACCACTGGCCTTTTCTCAGTCCCTAAGTGTGCCAGGCTCCTGCCTGCCTCAGGGTCTTTGCACTTCCTGTTCTTTCTGCCAGAAACATTCTGCCCCTCCCCTTTGCCTAGTGACTTACCCTTCCTGCCTCAGCTGCAACCCCACTGACTTGGGAAGCCTTCCTGGCCACCCCAAAATGAGGTTCTCCTGCTACATGCTTTTCTGGCACTCTGAACTTCTGCAGATTTTAATTATTTTGTAATGATTGTAATTGTGCGATTTCTGATCACTATGAACAAGAACCAGATTTAATAAGCACTTCACGCCACACTCTGTTCCAAAGGTTCTAAGAGTAGGTGAGTTCATTTAATTTTCCCAGTGCCCTCATGAAGTACTATAATCACCCCCATTTCGCGGATGGGGAGGCTGAAGTTCAGAGAGATTAAAGAAACTTACCCAAGGTTGCACACCTCGTCAACGTTGCAGTTGCTCTCTTAAGCCTGTTCCCACAGGTTGACTGTGACTTCCGTGAGGGCAGATTCCCCCTCTGGCACGGTTGCTGTTGTATCCCCAGGGCGGAGCCCCTGCATCGGGCACACTGGGGCTGATTAAAAAGTATTGATGACCTAAAAGAAACAACACCCCAGTAGCAATGAGCACTCCGAGTGCCCAGATCTTGGTTTCTAACACTACTCTCTAATAAAAGAAACCAGGTGGGGAGAAATGGCTGATTTTAGGACTGGAGCAGGAAATACATGAGATGAGCCCAGAGCATCTTGTAGTACCAGGGAGTAAGGAAGTATTCCCAAGAAAACCAAAAAACCCCAAACCAAACACATTGATGGGAGTGTGTCAAAGGGTCACAGGAGCCAACTGAAAGAGCTCCCAATGGCCAAAGCTGGAACAATTAGAACAACAAAATAAAGTCGTAATGGATTATAACCCAGAGTATGAAATAAATATCCAGTGGCCACACTGTTATAATTAAATGAGGGGTAAACCAATAAATTAGGGAGAGGAGAGAAATCTTCCATGCAGAATTCCACATAATTTACACAGACATCTCATGTAAGGAACACATCGCACTCTTTAGGTGTGTGCTGCACATAATGATTTCCTTCCAAAGTATACAATATAGAAAGGGGGGGCAAGTAACTTTATAGTGGAGAAACCTGACAAATGCTACCTCAGCCCGCAATCAAGGTCAACATCAACAGGTATAGATAATGTTGGCAGTATGTACCCTTGACAGGAGGTGATGAGAGTCACACTTTACCTCTGGGGTTCTTCCTCCCCCCAAACCCATCATCCCAGTCTTATCACCAGAAAAACACCAGACTTGGGGCCCCTGGGTGGCTCAGTCATTAAGCGCCTGCCTTCGGCTCAGGTCATGATCACAGGGTCCTGGGATCGAGCCCCGCATCGGGCTCCCTGCTCCGCAGAGAGCCTGCTTCTCCCTCTCCCACTCCCCCTGCTGTGTTCCCTCTCTCGCTGTGTCTCTCTCTCTCTCAAAATAAATTTAAAAAAGAAAAGAAAAAAAAGAAAAACACCAGACAAATTCCAAAAGAGGGGCAGTCTACAAAATACCTGATCATTTCTTCTCAAAACCATTAAGGTCGTCTAAAACAAGGCAAGTCTGAGAACCCACCACAGCCGAGAGGCACCTAAAGAAACAGGACAACTAAATGAGTGGATCTTAAAAGTTCTCATCACAACAACAAAATATTTATAATTATGTGTGATGATAGGAGTTAACTAAACTTATTGCGCTAATTATCTTACAACATATACACATATTAAATCATTATGCTGTAAATCGAAAACTAGCATGTGTCACATGTCAATTATATCTCAAAAAAAGAGAGAGAGAGACAGAGACAGAGAACCAGGACAGCTAAAAGTAAGGTGGCATCCTGCATGGGATTCTGGAAGGGAAGAAGGACGTTCAGTAAAAACAAAGGAAATCTACATAAACTATGAACTTTGGTTCATAATGTACCAATTTTGATTAATTATTACAAATGTACCATGCTAATGAAAGATGTTACTAATAGGAGAAACTGGGTGTGGGGAAAATGATAACTCTGTACTTTCAAATATTTCTGTAAATCTCAAACTGCTCCAAAAGACAAAGTCTGTTGATGAGAACAAGAACAAAGTACAGATGAATACATGGACGTCATTCTTCACCATGGCGACGATTATAGCTCCTTTCTCACAGAGCTACTGTGAGGATTACACATGAAGTATTTAGCAGGGAGTACACCCTGGATTCAGAGCACTGCCCACCATTCTACTAAATCTATGCCATCCACTATGGGAGCCACAAGCTCTGTGTGACTAAATTTAAATTAAGTAAAAATTAAGGACATTAAAAATTCAGTTCTTCTGTGGCACCAGCCACATGTCAAGTGCCCACAAGCCACGTGGAGCGAGTGGCTACTAAATCAGACAGTGATGATAAAGAACATGCCCATCATTGCAGGAAGTCCTACCAGACAAACACGGCATTAAACAATGAATGGCATAATTACTTGCTCAATTCCTTCTGCAAATGCCATCTTCTCAACCTTCCCTACCTCCCTCTTTCAAACTGCAATCCTCCCACATTCCCCATACCCTTTCTCCAATTCTTACCCCTTTCCACCACTTGATGTGAAATCCACTTGATGTCTCTTCTGCCTCCCCATCTAGCACTGCAGGTCCAACGCAGTAGCCGCGCGGTTGCTGAGCTCTTGAAATGTAGCCAGTCCAGTCTGAGATGGCACCGGCGTAAGACACACCAGATTTCAGAGGAGTCGGGGGGTGGGGGCAGAGGATGTAAAAAGTCTCATAACCTTTTATATTGATTACGCGTAGAAATAACATTTTGGACACGTTGTTACATGAAACACATCATTAATAGGAACATCACCTGTTTTTTTTTTTTTAACTTTTCTTTCCTTTAACACAGAGCCTACAAAATTTAATATGCACCTAACATTGGTGACTAACATTTTTGTCCATTCGTTGCCCAATACAAGTGACTGGCATATAGTAGACGCTCAATAAAACTTTAACGACTGCTAGGCTGCGCCTCGGGGAACCTGTTAGCTCCAACAATCAACACTAATATAAGACAGACGACGTCCCATGCTCCACCTCTTCACCACACCAGATAAGGAAACTGAGGCCCCGCGAGGTGACGTCAGCCACTTCCCAACGGCACGTAGAGCGGAAACGTCGGGGTCGGGATTCGAACCCGGGTCCTGTCCCCACAGCCCTGGCGCGCTGACCATTCCTACCTGGCAGGGAGGTGGCGGCGGCGGGAAAGACAGGCGCGAGGCACACAGCATGCGCTCGGCAAGGGGCGCGGCTCTTCGGCCACCGCCTTCCGTCGGCCTCCGTGGGCCGGGCCATAGCCAGCCCCCTCCGCGGCCATCGCCGGCCACCCGCGTCTCCGCCGGCCGCCGAGCCCTTAGCAGGCGGCGCCAGCCGGAAGTCCCGCCTCCGCCGCGCGCCCCGGGGCGCCGAGACAGGCACGTCGGCCAATGAGAAGCGCACCGTGGCGGACGCCGGCCAATGGGCGCGCGCGCCGGGGGGGCGTGTCCGGGCCGCGGGCCGGAGCGGGTCGTGCGCGCTGAGGAGGAGCCGCCGCCGCCGTCGCCGTCGCCGCTGCCGCCGCCGCCGCTACCGAGGCCGAGCGGAGCCGTTAGCGCCGCGCCGCCGCCGCCCGCCCGCCCCGGAGCAGCCCCGGGCCCGCCCGCTCGCGTCCAGGTGAGGCGGGGGCCTTCGGCGGCACCCGACGGGGTAGGCCGCGGCAGGCCTGAGCTCGCCTGGCCCAGCCGCGGGCGCCCGCGGGCCTGCACCGGCCGAGGCCCAGGCCGCACCGGGCCGGGAGGGGACGCGCGCGGGCCGTAGCGGGCGGGCGGGGGCCGGCCGGTGTGGGCGCCGGCGTCAGGCCCCGGGCCGGATTCCTCAGCCGCCGCGAGGGGCGGGCGAGGGGGACACGGCGTGGGCACGCGCCTGGCGGCCGGGTTCCGCGGCCGGGGCCCCAGCAGTACTGGCAGCCGAGGAGCCGGGGGCGGGAGAGCGAAGCCAGAGGCGAGGGAGTGGGGTGAGCGCCTTCGGCGCGCAGAGGTCACGGCCCACGGGCTCGCTCCCCGGGGAGATCCTACAGATTCTTTTGTAGTCGTTGTCAGAAGACCGCGGCCGATCTGAGGTCCTTTTAGAAGTGTGCATACCTTTCAGTATGTATGGGAGTCCTAGAAAAATATAGATTATTTGAACGCCATCTCTAACAAAGCTGTTTTTGGGGCGTGGGACGTTGGGATTTGTAAAATGTGTGTGTGTGTGTTGAAAACACAACCTGCACGCAATTGAACAATGGGGGATGGATGCTCTTCCTTTTCCGGTCTCCTCTGCTGCTAGGCTTATTAAAATGGGTTCTGATACCTACTGTGTGCAGGGCAGGTGGGGAACTTTTGAATGCTCTGCCCCTGGAGGGACAGAGCCCCCCCCCCTTACCAAAAGTCTTCATGTAGGATCTGTATGGTCAGTGCTCCAGAAGTGGGAAAATGGGAAAGATGGTCCTACTGGAGAAGGATTTCACAACCTGGTCACTAGTGACATTTTGGGTCTGATCACGCTTGGTTGGGGTGGGTGTGGGGAGGATGGCCTGTGTATTGTAGGATGTTGAGTAGCATCCCACTAGGTGCCAGCAGCATCTCTTCCCTTTCCTCCCCCCACCCCCGCCCCCAGTTGTGAAGATCAAAAATGTCTTCAGATATTGCTAAAAGTATCACACACACGAGAACCACCACTGGACTAAATGATCTTTTACTAAAAGTTTCTCCAGCCACATCTCTGATGCCTCAGGATCCAAGGCTCTCAAGAACTTGTACAAATTCAACTGTGGCAGCCTTAGTTTTCTTATCTGTAAAATGGAATGGAAAAATTGCTGCGCAGATTTAAGAGTGTGGGAAGCCCCTAGCGATGGCCTGAGTGTGGTAAGCACTGAATAGGTAATGTTATAATCAATAGATAATGTTACAATCAGTATTTAGTGAGGATTTACTATGGGCTTGTCCTTTACAGATCTTTATCTCCAGCCCTTGACATAGGTGCTATTGTAATTTCCATCTTCAGGACAAACAAACCAAGGCTTAGATGGGTCACTTGTTACGACCAGTCTCGCACCGTAAGGTGGCTGAGACGGAATTTGAACTCAGGCCCTCTGACTCAAAATCCTTACTCTTAACCATGAGATTTTACTGCTCTTATGATCACAAGTGTCCAGGGGATCCCAAGAGGAATTCCATTCAGTTGTCATTGAACGTCTTCTGTGTGTAAAGCTTTGTGCTGGGATCTTTTATAAAATTTTGTGACTTCAGGGTCCACAAAGAAGCTGGAAATACAAACATCTCAAAATGTGAAAATAAATAATGTTTATGTTGAAGCACTGGTTTTGGAGGAGGCAGAGTTTCGGTTTGGATGTGTTGAGTCTGAGGTCATGCTGCAGCAAGTGGAAAACGAGAGAATTATGAAAATACTCTTTTTGCTGCTTGCTTTATTGCTTCTCTCACTCCCTGCTTCCCATCTCTGTGCTTTCATACTCTAGCAAAAGTTGTCTTTTTTAAAATGCAGATCTGATCATTACTCCTGATTAAAAGTTTTCTTAGTGGAAAGAATTTTAATTTTTTTCACCTCTTTAGGTGACTTTTAAGTCACCTAAAGTTTGGGGTCCCTGGTCTTGCACCTTCTGACCCTCCCTCCCTTTTGCATTTCACCCGCACCTGGACCTGAAACTCCCGCCCTTTCTCTGCCTGTTGTCCCACTGCCTCCCAGCTCTCCTCCACCTAGAGAATCCTTTCCTCATGCTGAGAGGCCCAGCTCAGAGCTCACTCACCATTCGAAGCCGCCTCTGATTGCCACTCTCCCTTTACCCGCCCTGGAATCAACTAACTGTTCCCTAGCTTGTGTTCCCATTCCTTTCAACAGAGTCAAATTAAAAGCTGAATGGTGAGGAAAGTGCGGTTGCCGCCTTTTGCCCCTAGGTGGCAATAGTGAAGCAGCGAGGCTGACCCAAGTGTGTAAGTCAGGGGAAGACCAGAGGAAAGCAGCCTACAGAAGGGAAGTGAGTCTGGCTTCCCTCCTTTAACCAACTCTCCCTGCCCCGCTGCTAGGCTCTTAGAGGCAGTGGTGATTACAGTGGTGATTACAGTGTGGGCAGACTGTTTTAGCCACAAGTGCCGTGAGGGTTGTGCACTGACTGATGTGGAAGCACAGAAAAGGAGACTGTTCGCCCAGGCTTGCTGGGCAAAGGAGATCACAGAATGGTTCTTGGAGGAGGCCAAGCATGGGGGGAGGCTGGAGTTAGCCAGGTACAGACCACAGGGAACAGCTTTGCAGGATGCAGGAACAGCATCTGCAAAAGCATGGAAGTGGGAACATCTTGGTTTGTTCCGGAAACCACTTGGGGTCTGGTCCTTCAGGGGCAAGTAGTGGCAAGAGGACTCCTGCGGCTGGTGTGCAGAGGGTGTTTTCCTGTAGGCCAGGCCAGGGGTAATTTTAGTCCATGCAGTGAAGGAGGCAGAGTTGGAGGGAGACAGCGCTGAAGGCCAGCAAACCAGTTAGAAGGTGATTGCTTTGCTCTATGTAGGAAAAGCTGCGGATGCGACCCAGAGCTGTAGTGGTAGAGAAAGAGGGGGGATGGGTTTGAGACATGGTTGGGGGGTAAGAGACACAGGACTCTGTGGGTATTTAGATGCGGGATGTGAGCGAGCAAGAAAGGACAGCAGTGGATGATTCTGGGTCTCTGCCTGAGTGACCAGTAGAAGGATAGGTCAGTAAGAGAAACAGGGAAGGCAAGAGAAGGAGCAGTTTGAAATGTGGACACAGGAAAGCATGCAGTGGATATACTGTGAAGCAGGGAGGGGACAGAAGGCATTTTCCATGTCCGTATGTGTTGGGGGCACTCTTATGATCACTGTCGGTCCCACTTGACCCAGGGCCCCCGTGTGCTTTGGCCAAGTCGATGGTCACACTTTCGTAGGCTGAAAACATGAAACGTGACTGCTTGTTGGGAAACAGGAAGAAGGGGAAGAAACTGCCTCCTTGAGGAACTTCCAACCTGAGGAGGGGAGAAGAGACCTATGTAGATGTATAAGATGAAGTAGCAAAAGGGTAAAGCAGTGGGTCGTGACAGCATTGCTAGTGTTGAAAGAAAGGATTGTCCAGTGTTCGGTTTTTGTGTTTGATGAAAGAGCTGGTGTCTAGGGTGGCTCAGTCGTTGGGCGTCTGCCTTCGGCTCAGGTCATGATCCCGGGGTCCTGGGATCGAGCTCCGCAGTGGGCTCCCTGCTCAGCAGGAAGCCTGCTTCTCCCTCTCCCACTCCCCTTGCTTGTGTTCCCTCTCTCACTGTGTCTCTCTCTGTCAAATAAATAAATAAAATCTTTACCAAAAGAAAAAAAAAGAGCTGGTGTCTATACCAGTTGTTGTGATCAAAGAGGCATGGGCAGGAGTTTTCAGGTGCTGCCAATGGCCCGGGTGAATTAGAGAGGAGAGACAAAGAGGTCCAGAAGCCTGAGTGGACTGGTTTGGGCAGGCAGAGAGAGATGAGAAGGTGAACTTGGAGATAAGTCTAGAAAAGTATATCAGGGTCAGGTGGTAGAGGTTTCTGGATACAGTCAAGAGGTGATCTTGGAAGTTTGTTTTTCTGGGGGAGACTTAAGGATGGATGGACTGGTCAAGACACTTTTGTGGTATGAGGTAGCCTGGTAATGGCCTGAACATGAAGGCCGGGACTGGGACTGTTCCTTTATTTCATACACCCAGTACCTTGCTCTGTGCCTGGCACATGGTTGGCACTCCGTGTTTACTTGGGGGAGGGAGGGCCAGAAGGGGGCTCGAGTGACTAGATCCAACCACCCATCAAAGAGACATCTCTACTGAAGTTAGAAGAGGAAACAGAAGGCAGAGGAGTGATTTGAAGGGAGAAGGCTTGGTTGGGTTTGGAGAGACTGGGTTTGAAATAATCATGTGGCAGGGAGACCATTTGGGAGTCTGTCTAGGCAAGAGATAACAGGGACCTGAACCAGGATAATGGCAGAGAGATGGGGGAGGAGGAGATGTATCGCCAATGTGCAACTGGCAGAATTCGGTGCCTGGTTAGGTTTGGGGGACAAATGTGTCCTGCCACCAGAGGAAGTAATTCAGGGGGAGGAAGAGGCTTGAAGAGGGGTCAGGGACAGGTGGAGAGGACCTGAAGGTGCCTGCAGTTGGAGACTGGGAGATCAGGGAGGCACGCGTTCCCCTCGGTCTTGTAAGTGAAGTAGGAGGAAGGGGGCAGGATTGGAATAAGGTTCATATCTTTGGTGGGCAGATTGAGAAGCCCACTGACCCATCCAGGCTGGTGTGTGCAGTTGATGGTGAGTGAGCATAGACTGGCAACGAGGTCTTCCATATATGTGGGGCTTCGCTCGTGAGCCCTGACTGGTGCGACTCCCTGTGACTTCTGTGGAGCCCAGGCATCAGCGGTTTGGATCATTTCCAGGGTCCCAGGGGCAAAGAGTCAGAGTGTTCCTTAGTGGACCTGGAGGCGGGTGCGATGGCCACTTGCCAAGTGTCAGGAACTGTGCTGGCTGCTGCGAAGCAGGTGGTACCATCCCCATTTCACAGACAAGGAGACTGAGGCCCCAGGAAAGGAAGTGCCACACCCACAGTCGTTCAGCTGATCAGCAGTAGGGTGAGTATTGGAGTACGGGTCTATCAGACTC